CTAGAAGGTCGGGATTGCGGTTGGGATCTGTTGGCCAGTATGTGGGAGTATTAGGTGAAAGGATATTGCTGCGATGGGAATTAAGTGCAGATAGCAATGTTCGCCCTCGGGAATTTGTGGATCTGGCTCCCCATTGCTGGTGTTTTGCATTTAAATCTGCACCTAGGATGAAATGGTGTCCTAAGGAATTCAGGAAGGAAATTATTTGGGATTCGGAAATGGGTATTTTAGGCGGGGAATATGCCGCAACTAATGTTATTGGGTAAAGGGAAGTTTGGATTATTACGGCAGTGGATTGTAGGAAATTATGGGTTGGTAAGGGAAATAAATGATGGGAGAGAGATCGGTGGATAATTATAGCAGTGCCAGCATGTGCTGTTCCATCAGGATGATCGGTTCTATAAATATTGTAGCCAGGAACGTTGATTTGTCGTTTGTTGGTTAGTCGGGTTTCAGTTATTAGTGCTATGTCGATGTTTTTGTCATGTAATAAGATTGTCAGTTCGTTGATGTGATTTCGAATACCATTCGCATTCCATAGGAGAATGGAGAGGGATTTGGTTGAGGACATTTATGGATTTCTCGGCGGTGGAATGAGGTTGGATATAACATTGGTAAGTAATGAAATAAGAGGGGTGATGAGGGATCTAAATTCAGAGAGGAAAGAAGTTAATAGGCTTGTGAGGTCAGTGGAATTGGAAGGAGGAGGAATGTATGTCTGGGTATTGAACCTAGGTTCAGGGATGGGTGGATATGGGTCTTGAGGTTGATGTGTGAATTCTCGAGGTTGAGGTTCTTGTGGCAGGGCCTGAGATTGAGTGTTTATAGTGTCTCCTTTGAACATCTGAGCATAGGTCACTCTTCCGTTCACTGTTCTAGAGGGTTGTCTTGGTGGTCTGGATGTCCCTTCTTCTCTAGGAGTTGCGTACATTCTTGTTTTTAATTCTTTATATGTTTGACAACCCTTGTAGTTGGCAGGGTGCCCTTGGTGGCATAAGGCGCATACTGCAGGTGAAGTTCTAGACTTCCTACATTCTTCTGTTTTGTGTTGCTCACCACACCTCACACATCTAGGAATGTGATGACAATATCTTTTCGTATGGCCATAAGCCTGACAGTTATGGCATTGAACGATGTCGCGCTTGGTGTAAGGCTTTTCTACTACAACGCTGGTGTAATAAAGGCGTGTGACCTTGTAGATGTCTTCGACCTGGGGCGTTCGGTCAAGGTCAACGAAGAATAGTGGGAGCGGTATTTTACTTTTTATTCCAGGCTGTTCTCTATCCTCCTTGAATATGTTCACTATCTGGCGAACATGGAATCCCATACCCACGAGCTCTTCTTTTATAGCATCAGTTGGCGTAGATGGGTGCAGTCTTCTGATAACGACCCTGAGCGCCCTCTCTTGACGCAATTGATACGTGTGGTAATCAGCCTTGGTGTCAGATAAATATTTTATAATTTTTCTGTATGTTTCTGGAGTGTCGGGCATTAATTTAGTGTCATTGGTGCGGCTTTGGCATAAATATTTTCCTGAGCCCACTAGGTTATTCAATTGGTGACACATTAACTGAAAGTTTTTAATATTCCTAAGGAATATTGGTGGGGGGTTGGGTTCCCTGGGGGTGGGTGCTGCTTCCATTTCTTCGTTTTGTGTATTTGATAGCACTTGAAATGGGTTCTGAGTGAAAAACGGCGATTCTTCACCAGTCTGAGTTGTCTCATGATTGTTTTGTTGTTGTGAGGTACCAGGTTGGGGATCCACTTCTTCAACAGAGCTCCCTGGTGTGGCTGGTGGAGTATTTCTTTTCGAACGTCTTGTTCTTTTTTTAATAGGAGAACTCATTGTAGTATCGAGGCTTCTGGACCTAGTATTTTTACCCTTGCTCGACATTAGCATATGATAATATCGCATTTCATATTATAAATGATAGGAAAAATTGTTAAATGAGAAGCGATAACAATTTTTTTTTTTTTTTTTAAGCACGGAAATATATACGCGTGCTTAGAGAGGACTAATCGGCACAGAACCTCCTAGGACGGAGAGCCAGAGCCCACTGGTGGGATTAGCGATGTTATGGCCGGCCGTTATCAGTAACTAACCAGAGGTCTATTTACACTGTTCACTATTGAGCTGTAAATAAGTGATTACTCACCTTATTCTTTTGTTCAGTAACAAACTTAATTGTTAATATAACAGGTAACACTGTTGTTTCGCATTGAAGTTGAACACTGCCACTATTAATGAAGAGTTTTGTAAGAGACGACCTGACGTATGTTTAACTTAGGCTAACGCGTCGAAATGATTCTAGATTCCAATGTTTACTTTCTATGGAATCAAAATGTTTATTCAATATCATTAGTTCAGTGCCATTTCTTGCAGCACATTTCTTATTCTCCGGCTTTTAATTTTTTCAATATTAAGTTTACAAATGCCTCTTAGTGCTGAGGATGTTGCGCGTGGTGTGGCACTTATTGATGATGGACGTTCCATTAGATATGCAGCTAATGCCATCGGAGTTCCATATGAAACATTACGAGACGCCGTCAGGCGTTTTTGGGAAACTGGTTCTTACAATAGAAGGCCCGGTTCTGGACGGCCTAGGGTAACAGAACCACGGGATGAACGGTTTTTGACTTTGAGAATTTTACGAAACCGGCATCTTACCGTTGTTCAAGCGATTCATCAGCTCGAAGAAGTTCGAGGTGTGCAAAATTTCTGAACGTACCGCTCGGAGAAGATTAAATGAGTATGGATTAATGGCTTTTCGTCCAGTAAGAGGACCAGAGTTGACCAGAACTCACAGAGTAACACGGCTGGCTTTTGCTCGAGAACTCCCATTGGACTATGGATGAATGGAGTGCTGTACTTTTTACAGATGAGTGAAGATTCGCTCTTCGATCTCCAGACGGGCGTGAAAGGGTGTGGAGAAGAAGAAACGAAAGATATGCAGCCTGTAATTTTTCCCAGAGCCAACCTTTCCAACGTGGTTCCTTAATGGTGTGGGCTGGGATTTCAATGGAGTGCCGCACAGAATTGGTTGTTGTTCGTGGAGGGTCTTTAACGGCCATTCGCTATGTAAATGAGATTTTGGAACCTCATGTGTTACCTATCCTCAACGAAATCGGCGATCGTTCAATTCTATTGCATGCCCACATGTCGCCCGCATAGTGCAGACGTTCCTTCCACAGAACAATATTGAGGTTTTAGCCTGGCCAGCACGTTCTCCAGATTTGAACTCCATTGAGCATTTATGGGATAACCTCGGAAGACGAATAAGAGCGCGTGCAACATTTCCTGATATAATGCAGGACCTTGAAAGGGCTCTTCGGGAACAATGGGCTATCCTCCAGCAAAGGGACATTTCCCGACTGGTGGAAAGTATGCCGAGGCGTCTTCAAGAAGTAATGAAGGCAAGAGGAGGAAACACGCATTACTAAACGATGATGTAATTAATTTCTTTTAGAATAATAATGTTTCATTTTTCAATTTTTTTTTCTCTAATCTGTCTTACCCAATCACATTTTGATTATTAAAGGTAAAAAAGATTATAAAATTCCAAAAATACTAAGTATTATCTACAAATAACATGTATTATATACAAATACAACTTAACAGAAATATATTTAGATGAAAACATGGAAAAATCAAGTGGGTGGAATTTTTTGTCTGTCAGTGTATTAAAAATGTTAGCTATACATATGATCTATTGCACGATAGAATAATCGATAGTAAAATAATAAATTGGTTAATAATAAAACTTGTTTACCTTATTTTATGTAATTCCATATCATTTAATTAATATATATCTTATAATGAAGAAATGCGAAAAAGAATATATTTTCAGAACCACCTAACCATCCCTAGACTCATTCAATGTATGTCCACCATGAGCTCATATGAATGAGTTTTTCCCATCCATAAACCACACCCAATTTGTAATACTTCTGCGGTTAACTAGAATATTACAGTATTGTTTAATAAGAAATAAAAAAAAATACATATTCCACGTGGTTTAATTATTCAATTTATAATTGTTTTACTTTCTTTACTAAGTGAAGGTAAAAAATACAAGCAAACGATAAGTTAGTTACACATGTACCTTGTTCATGATAGTTGATTTTTTTTATTTTTTATCATGCCCAAATGGCTAAGCATATTTTATAAATATTATTCGTATAATATAATTAAAACAAATTATAAATAAATTGATTACTATATATTAATAACTTTCCTATATATGTTTATTAATGAATCTCTGATACCTAAATGAGAAATGTCACTCACAGTTATGAATGGATTAAAAAAAAACAAATGCTTTGAGAAATAAAAAAATATTTATATTTTATAAATACAGACTAACTCTAAGGACGTATTGAAATATTTACACACAAAAATTTCTTTGGTTACAACAAGAAGGTGCTCCAACTGCACTATTGCTTCTTCTAACCAGACACAAACAGTAAGCCGCAACATTCAAGTCACCAAGTAGCATTTTCCCAAAATCTAAGAACAGTGGAGCACCTGTGAAAGAAAAATTTAAATTAATATAATACTTTAATTAGTATTATTAAACTATAGCTAATACAAAATACTAATAACAGCAAAAAATTAATAATATCTCAGATAATATTATTTTTAGATTTTTTAATACAGCGACAATAAATTGTTCAGTTTGTTCACACAGTTTAACAGACAACTTAAATACACTAATCGTTCATAATAATTCTCTTTTCTAATGTAATGGAACCTAACAAAATCTCAATTATAAGTAATAGAAAAATGTTTAAATAAACTCTATATAAAAAGGAGGAAGACTTGTTTATCGTACATGGCCACAAAATTAGTATACAGAGGACCCGAAGATAGTATTGTTCTCAATAGTTTTATTTTCTAAGAAAAAATTTAAATTGTTCTAAGTACAATGAAAAATTCTATAATTATTGAAAAATGAAGCTATTTCAAATTAATTAACACTCACTTTTCTTGGAAGCATTTCAGATGGAAGTCCTGATTGGAGTGGTTACAGGTGCCATGTTGGGATTGGGTTCACTCTTGCCGTAAACCATGGTCTTGCCGATCTTGATCATCTTGTTGTCACCGTTCTTCTGGGAGGTCCTCCAGTAGACTGTCTGGACGGCCTTCCTGCCAGCGACAACACGGCTTGTTGATCCAACCAACATCTGAAGAAGAAGAATAAATGAATGATTAAAATGGGGAAATTGCCAATAAACTGAGGAACACGTAATTTATACTACACATATCCTTAAGAAAATATTTTCTAAATACCCTACTCTATGCTCATGAATTATTTTGTAATTTGAAATCAAATTGAGTAAGTACCATCATTAATAATAGAAAAAAACTCAGACCAATTAGGTAATTCGGGTTTTCAATTTATGTCAATCATGCATAATTACACTAACTTGACTGGCAGAGTTTAAGTGACAGTAATTGTAACATTTAACAGGCGAGTCTTTTTGCATAAAGCATTAATAAGTAATTTAATATTTCACATCCGTTATCTGTAAAACAACGAACTCATTTCAGTAATTAGTAACTTAACATAGACAATTATTTAGTTTTGTTTTAATACAATTAACCTTAAGACTACGTAATAAGTACGGTATTTATAAAAGTTTCCCTGTAATATAGACTAGAATGATTTTTTCTTACATCCTTATGTCACTTTTTCGATCACAAAAATCCTATCTGCCTTATCCTGAAAATGGGACGTTCATTCACCCGGAAATAACAATCCATTCAACGAAAATCATTGTGACATTGAATATACATAATCACAACCCTATTAAAACAGTTAGATAGCTTATCATAATAACTATAGCTAGCTACCTTGAGTTTTGAGTTGATAACTCGAAGGAATAAGAGCAATAGATCTTCTGAACGTTCGATGAAGAACTGTGCTCCAGTAGGTTAGCGGTTGAGTATATATACTTACTTTATCTCGGTAGCAGGAATCATTCGCGTGTCTCATACGTCACGGCGGACTACCAAAAAGTAGAAGGGGAGATAAAGGGGATTCAAGCAAATCGATCATGCCGCCTTGACATTGGCCAACGGAGATATCGCTATTCCACTTGACGCATACCTTATCAGCGGATGTTCGAGATACTCATCTCAACGGAATAGCTATTTCTCAATTTAGATATGCAAAATTCCCGAATACAAATTTTATTTTTATTTTAAATAAAGTTTCTCTTGTTATTCTTTCTAGATGAACACAAAAACTCAGGATTCGGATTATATATGCTATTGATTTAACAAAATATGAAATGACCTCTTTCTGTCACTCGCTCTCCTTCCTCCCCCCATCCCAAATAAAACTCAAAACCTTTATAATATTATTTTAAGCAATATATGCTAAAAAGAAAAAAATATTAACAAATCATAATATTTTTTATTTATTTATTTATTTATGCCTCCCTTCCTTGCCTTTCGGCTACACGGGATTTTGCAGGGATGGCATATCACACACGTGCATGCCATTCCTGCTATTAAACCACAAATTAATTTTCAATTTTGTTTTGTTTTTTCAAATATCTTCTTTTTTTTCCTTATTTTCAATATATTACCCTGGTGGCCTTCTATTAGCAGGTTCTCTTCCTAGATTAAAGTGGGAGGGTCCCAGAGCAGCTTTCCACCCGTACACAAAATCTTTGTAATACGGGTAGTTCTGCTCCGTTACTAACTCAGGAAATTCATCTTCCGTGAGGCCATAGATTCCCATTTTTCTTATCATTTCGGCCCTTAGTCCATCAAAGGCGGTGCAGTTGACGATAATATGCTCAGCCGTCTCCGGTACTCCGCAAGTGGGGCATAGGGGATCTATGTCTTTTCCAAAACTATGTAACTTAAAGCGGAAACCCCCATGCCCAGTAAGGAATTGAGAGACCCAGTAGTCCGGGAGAACCCACTTAGCTTTCAAGCGACTTCGGACGGTGGGGAAATATTTTCTTAAAGTTGCTCCTTTCAACGTTGTTACCCACCGCCGATTCCACTCATCTATGGTGTCTTCCCGGATAATCCTCTTCCATTTTCTTGGGTCTTCTGCAATCCTCACCCGGATATTCTCCGGAAGACCTGCTGAGCCTTCTCTTTTTAACTTAAATATTAGCGAGTCTTCTCGCAGGAGAAGGTCGAGAGGTACCCCTCCTGCTAAGATCTGCACCGCCTCGTGAGACACACTTCGGTATGATTTTGTGACTCGCAACAGAGCCGTACGTTGAATTGTCGCCAATCTGCGTTTCTGACGGTGTGAGAGATTCTGAGACCACGCAGGAGAGGCGTACCTCAGAATACCCACTATCATTCCATCGTAAATGATCCTCGTAGCTGGGTATCTGAGGCCCCAAAATGCACCCCCTAGGCGACTAAGTCCATTCAAGGCTAGGGCCACCCTACTTCCTAAGTAGTTTTTTTTTTTTTTTTTTTTTTTTTTTTTTTTTTTTTTTTTTTTTTTTTTTTTTTTTTCTGACCCCCCAGAAACTTTATTTAACACTACTTACAACATACATCTATGAATGTATATATACATTATTGCTTGACCTTTGCTTACCCAAGGGTATTTTAAGGTAAATGACAGTTTATGCCGTAAGCATAGGATACTTTCTGTGGCCTTAGGCCTTAATTTCATCACCGGGCGTGGAGGGACCGCCCTGCTTTTTTCATAAAGGATAGGGATGAGGATATATTTACATATTTACAATTATATATATACACTATGTACAAATGTGAGGATTCAGACTGCCGCGTCCAGACCCCCTCCTTCGTCAAAGACATCTACCAGGGGGACTTTGCCTTGCCACCTTCCAGGCCTGGGCGGTGGGGCGATTTCTTGGAATAATGGATTTGCACAGGCCTTAAGCCCATCAAAAAATTTGATGTGCCTCCGGCCAATGAATTCCGGGACCGAGGGTAGTTGGAGCTCCTGGTAGATGTCTCTGTTCCTGGATCGCTGAAGATGGGTACCTCTGACTATTCGCCGAAGGACGGAGTTTTGGAATCCCTGCAGTCTCTGGAGTGTCGTCCGGTAAAGGTGTCGGAGAAGCGGTGCACCATAGAGCAGCGTAGGTCTGATGACCGCCTTGTATATCTGCAGTTTTAGTCTCAGCGAGAGCTGCGGCGACTTCAGCAGGTGGTAGAGCCTATGTGACTTTTGTTTTGCCAGCTTGAGTCTTTGTTTGACATGACTGGAGAATGTTAGGTGTCTATCCAATGTCACGCCGAGATAGACTACTGAGTTGGAGATCCGCTGGTCCACACTACCGATGGTGAAGTGAGTGGGTAGTGGCTTTTTCCCTTGCTGGAACGACATCACGATAGCGTCAGTCTTCATGGGGTTCACTCTGATGCCATTTTTCTCTAGCTCTCCGACGATGGCTTCTGTGGCTTTTTCTGCATGCTTGAGGGCTCTCTTTGCATTAGTGCTCGATGCATAGATCCCGATATCGTCAGCATAGGCTGCTACCACTGCGTTTGGGTGTTTGAGTGCCACTACTGGCGCCGTAAAAACGACGAACAGTATTGGTCCCAACACAGACCCTTGAGGTACTCCACAGGTGGTATCGACTGGGTTAGAGTAGTCGTCACCAACTCGTACGACGAGAGATCTTCCGCTAAGATAGCTTCTGATCAGTCGGCATAGAGGGGCTGGGAACTTGTACTCTTCCAGCCGTCGGAGTAACAGCGCGTGAGACACGCAGTCAAAGGCCTGACTGCAGTCCAGTGAGATGAGTGCCGTAGCTCTGTTGTGATTCATCTGCTCTATGGTGTGTGCCTGAAGTTTCGCCAGGTGGTGTTCGCAGGCGACACCTTGTTGGAAACCTGTCTGCTCTGGTGGTATAATGTTCTTCTCCCTACAGTGTTTTATGAGATGGTAGTGAATCAAGCGCTCGAAGATCTTGCTGATGTGCGAGAGGAGGCTGATTGGGCGATAGTGCTCAGCCGCGTCTCCTTTCTTCCCCGGCTTTAGTAGGGGTACTACGATTGCTTGTTTCCAGGCTGTGGGAAAGTACGAGATTCGCAGGCATGAGTTGAAGATGTTCAGGAGGAAGGCTTTACCCTTCCTTGGGAGCATCTTTAGTAGCACATACGGTATCTCGTCCTGTCCTGACGCTTTGTTTCCCTTAGTGCGCCGTAGTACCGACTCAAGCTGGTTAATACTGGAGAAAACGGGCTTCTCGATGAGACTGGGAGATGGTCCATCCTGTACAGGAGGGGCACTTCTCGTCCGCTCTGCGGCACCCGCTGCATCGCTTTTCGACAGTAGTTCAGCCTGTTCCCCGGGTGTTAGCAGCGCGTCACCTTCTGTCAGATGCACACTTCTCTTCTTGCTGACGAAAGGCCTGATGAGTCTCCAGAACTGGCGGTGATCATCGTGTGTCCTCCGTAGCTGATCATGCCATAGAGAAGTTTTCCAGTCACGCATGAGGCTAGCTATCTGCCGGGTCATCGCATTGATGGCCGGCTTCAGACTATAATCGCGGGTGCGCTGGAAGATGTTTCTGATGTTGTTCCGTTGGCTTATCAGTGCAAGAATGTGCCGCGGTGGTCTTCTGATGGAGTTGGGCTGTGGGGCGAACCTGGGGATATTACGATTGGCTGAATCCTGGATGGTTGTGGTGATGACTTTCACAGCACTGTCCACCTCATCTCGAGTCCTGCACGGTGTAATAGCTGGTAGTGTGTTCTCAACGCAAGATCTGTATTCTTTCCAGTTTGCCTTGTTTAGTAGATACTTGCTCGCCGGCGGTGTGGCTGGCATGCCCTCGAAAGTGTAGAGCACAGGCCGGTGATCAGAGGGACCATACGGTAGTGCGTGGCAGTCCGTAATGGTGTGCTGTTCTCTGGTTAACAGCAGGTCTAATGTTGAGGTCCAATCAGGGCGGGCTGCGTGTCGGAAAGTGTGCACACCTGGGTGAAAGACGGCCAGGCTGGTCTTAGTGATGTACCTCCCCAGGGGATTGTCGCTACCACAGAGCCAGGAAGAGTGTCGAGCATTAAAGTCACCAATGACTACATGCCGACTCCTCGCCTGGGCGTGTTGTAGCAGGAGCTTCACAGATGTGAGATTTGCCCTCGGTCTCCTATAAACACAGGTGAACGTATAGCGATTTTTAAATCGTACATCCACTGTGACTATGTGAGTTCCCTCGGTAGGTTCCACTGGGTTAGTGATGGTTTTTGAAGGTACATCTCTTCTGACCAGTATAGCGACGCCCTCAGCTCTCCCCGGGGGGCACACCTCCCGGTACACAGTATACCCCTGGAAAAATACTCGAGACGATGCGGGCAACATTGTGTCAGTCAGTGCCACAACCGATGGTCTGTGCTGCTGTAGGAGAAGCTCTAGTTCGGCCGACTTTGATAGGAGGCCTCTGATGTTCAGGTTGACTACGAGGTGTTTAGTCATTTTTCTTGATGGGCATCACGGTTTGAAGGAGAGTTGTTATAAAATTTAACATCGTGTCCATCCTGTCCAACATCTTCTCAACGAGGGTTACTAGAGTTGATTCTGTTGTCCTAGGTGGCTGGGTTTCAAGTGTGCTGGTGATCGCTGGGGTCGGGCTATTTTGTGTCTGGTGGTGGGGGGAAGTCAGGTGGTGGGAGGCAGTGGGCTGCTGTGATTGGTTGCTTGTCCCGCCAATGACATTAGAGAATGATAGGTCCTTACGGACTGGTTTGGCCGGATTCCTCATTGTGCTGGTGGCTGAGCCCTGCTTCTTCCTTGTTTCCATAAGTTTCTGTCGGGAGGGACATTCTTTTGAGAATGCAGGGTGGTTACCGCTGCAGTTCCAGCATTTAGCCGGAGCTCTCTTAGGGCACTCTGTGTTTAAATGTTGTTCTCCACACCAGGCACAGTGGCAGGTTCGGCCACAATATTGCATTGTGTGGCCGAACTCCTGGCAGTTCCTGCACTGTACTGGGGCCTTCGTTTCTTTGTACACCCTTACTCTGAAGCGTACATAGTCGATA